CACAATAAGAAAAAACCTCAAAAAAAAAAAAAAAAAAAGCAATAGAGTTAAAGAGAAGCAGAGGTTAGAAAGGACAGGTATGGGTAACCACTGGCAAATGAGAAAAGAGAAAAATATTTTATTCATGACAAAGGATGTGTATACACACCCATGAGAGAGAGAGAAACAGAGCAATAGGAGTTGATTACACTGCAATGCCTTTTCCCCAACCCTCCAGCTCATAATGATCTCGGGCATACTTGCACGCCCAGTGTGTTTCAGGTCAGTTAGGCTGGGGCTCAAACCTGCGGTCAGCCCTATGGCTTCTAGCACTGCAGTTAGGAGTCCTGTTGACAGTACCGCAGAGGCTGGGCCTGGGGTCACTTTCATAAGGGCTCCACCCCATGACCTAATCACTCACAAAAGCTTTCACCTCTTAATACTATCACGTTGGAAGTTAGAATTTTGCCATTTGAAATTTTAAGGAGGACACAGTCTACAGCAAACAAAAAATAGAAAATGAATATAGATGGCCAAATAGAATACAAGATGCTTAATTAAAACTGGATTTCAGGGACCAGCGGTTAGCGTAATGGCTATGTCGCTGGACTCCCACATAGTCGACCGCAGTTCGCATCCTGGACCCGGTGGCTTAAATTCACGCTGGGTGCGTGTGCGTGCGTGCGTGCCCAAGATCCCGAGAGGAGAATGGAGGAGAAGGGATTGTGGCATGGCCATCTCCCCGGGGGGTGATTTCTCGCTTTCTGTCTCTCTGCCTCTCTCTGTCTGGCGAGCGCACGCGCCCTACAGCAAAAACCTCTCAAAAGAAAAAAAAAAAACACTGGATTTCAGTTAAACAATAATTTTTCAGTATAAATATGTCCAGATTTGTTCCACATATTGCATAGGATATAGTAAAAATTATTTTGATGTTTATCTGAAATTTAAATATAACTAGGCATTCCGCATTTCATTTTTGTTTTTATGAAATCTGGCAACCCTAAATTATTATATGACATTCTGTGAGGCTGACTCACCTGAAGGGTTCTGGGTTCTTGTCAAGAGAACTCCCTGAGAACATTGGGTACTAACATGCTTGTAATGAGGGGAAGGGGAGTGAATCACAGCATCAAGACCTGTTGGAGGTGGTGTCTCTATCTGTCTCATTGAAGAAATAAATAAGTAGACTTCAAAAACCAACAAGGGACCACTCCACGCCATAACGGTAATGCGATGCTCAAGAAAAGCTGGCTCCCACATGGGTGTCCCAGCAGATCCCCAGGTCTGTCATAAACAGAGCACATACAGTAGTGCCCAAGCTCTGACAGGCTGGAGAACTGGAGAATGGGATTAGAACATGACCAGACCCTGGGGTGAGTGATCTTGCCCTCTGTCACTCTCACTTGCATGTACATGTGCTATTTCATAAATAAGGGCAATTTTAAAAAAAGTTAAAACAATAACAAAAACAAAACAAAACAAACAAAAAACCACAACACTTTGAGATAAATACAGATGGCCAGTTTCTTTAGTTCCTTTCTTATGATCTCTACCATCTACCCCCTTCATTCAAATAAACCTCCAAGCAAATGGTGCCTCTGTGAAGCTCCTTAGGTGCCTTTCAACAAGATTGCTTAACTCAGATTCTTCCTGTTTATAAATTCCAGGACTTCTGCTGAGCAGAATTGAGCCTTAAGACCCATGCAAACTCATAACTTTGAATCGTGATTCATGGACTCATCATCACCAGAGAGCCAGTTAAAGATGCAAGTTCCCATCCCTGAACCAAGACTCTGAAGTTTACCAGTCCCTCCAGGTGCTTCTTTGTTTTCCATCGGCAGAGGGCACATCATGCACTCACCAGAGAGACAGGGAAAGGGAGAAAGTGCCCCTCTATGGGGCATAGTCATGCCACAATCCTTTCTCCATTTCTCTCTCCTTTTGGGATTTTGGGCATGCACAGCACATGTGCCCAGTGGTTTTTTGTTTGTTTGTTTGTTTTTTGGGGGAGGGTGGGGGGGGAGAGGTTTTTACTATAGGGTGCGTGTGCTCACCAGACAGAGACAGAGAGACAGAAAGTGAGAAATCACACCCAGGGGGGATGGCCACGCCGCAAACCCTTCTCTTCCATTCTCCTCTCAGGATCTTGGGCACGCTCGCACATGTGCCTGGCATGAGTTTAAGCCACCAGGTCTGAGACTCGAAATCTGGTCGACTACATGAGAGTCCAGCGACATAATCATGATGCTAACTGCTGGTCCTACACAGTGTGTTTTTAAAGCTACCAGGGTCAGGATTGTAATCAGAAGGCAGCCTTGTGGGATCTGGCTCCCTTAACTGCTAGGCCATAGAGCTGGCCTCCAGGTGATTCTTATACCCTCTTAAGTTAGAGAAGCCCTGATCTAAATTTCTTGGAGAAAGAGATATACCCAGTTTTGTCTAGCCTTAGGATTTCCCTTCTGTTTTGTGCAAAATGTGTTGGCAGGTGTCATTCTCTCCCTCTTACCCAGAGGAGGGTGCTAACTTTATGCTTACAGATTTCTGAGCGAGGTGGGGCAGGAAAGGAAAGATGGAGTTCCCACTACATATATGGTAGGCAGTGTGATTGATGCTGGCACAGTTAAATGAGATGTCCAACTCACTCTTCACTCACTTTACAGAGTGCTTTTTCTTATAACCTAATCTCAAAGCATATCTCAACATCATGATGTTTAAAAATTAGTAGACTTAATTGTAAGAGCAATTTTAGGTTTATTTCAAAATGGAAAGTATACAGAATTCCCATATACCCTTAACCGCTCACATGTACATATACACAAGAGCCTCCTTTACCATCAACACCCCTCACCATTGTGGCACATTTGATACAGTGAATCAGCATTCATTATCTGCTTTATGGAGACCATATATCGAGGCTGAGTAATTTGCCCAGGTTTGCACAGCTAGTAAGTTGTAGAACCAAGATTCATACCCAGATACTCTCATCTCCAGAGATTGTCTTCATAATTCCTACATTGTGTTGTTTCTGGTAAATGGGAATTCATTTCCATGCCAAATGCATTATCTTCACCCTTAATACCAAATCAGGTTCTTTCCTATCTTTCTCTATCTTAACTTTGCTCATTTGATTACTTGCCATCTGACATCTGCTAGAAAATAAACTGCTATTATTACAATCCCAAAACTCAATTTCTGATGCTTTGACCTGATACACAATTAAAAGTACAATCATGAAGTAGAGCTCATTAGTGCCAAGAGACCTACGATGACTGACTACCATCCCAAAGCTAGCATATAATCCAGAGTGAGTTTGGTATTGAGCTTTTATTATAAGCACTAGGAGGAGTTGTACGTGCAAAAGTGGTCTTGGTTTTTGATCGAGAGAGACTTACAGAACATATCATTTGTTCAACCTTGGCTTCTTTCCTCAAGCCTCGGGATATCACACTCACCTTATTGACCAGCTTTTCGTTCAAATAAATTACTTAAGAGGAAAAGTTTTTAACTTGATTTCTCACTCTAATCCTGTTCTAAAGTTGCCTAGGAGGGAAGTTGTGGTTTCAGAAGCAGCAGCTTCAGCAAAAGTGGGAGAACTTCAGACAATACCGACTTTCCAGATGTGACTGTAGGCAGCCAAGGTAGAAATTGTGTTGTGAGGACACATAGCTTACCTCTTGTCTTAGGCAGCTTGACCTGTTATAACAAGATATCATAGCCCAGGTGAATAAGCGATAGAAATCTATTTCTCACAGTGTGGAGCTGGAAAGTTCAAGTCACTGGTTTGCAGAGGGCTGTCACTTTGCCGTATTCTCATACAGTGAAGAGAGAGAGATCCTGTCTTGTAACTGAGCCGTAAAAGTACTAAAGTGACTATATTGCGCTTAGTCCTGGAATCCATCGTAATAGATTAAACCTTAGGAAAATCAGTCTTTTACATCAACCTTTTGCATTACAGTCATACAGAACCTAACCTTTTATCTCTCAGAATAGAACAAGCCTAATGCTTAATGGATGGAAGTGAACAGTGATCTTGCTGAGCTTTTACAGATACCTGGCTATGGAGATGGGGAAGGGAAAGATGCTACCAGCCCCCTCCTCTATGACCAACTGAAAAGATTTTAGCAGCTCAGATATTGTGAAGCTACACCTACCTTCTAAACCAGGATCTAAGAGTCGTCGTGACTGCCTCCATTTTGCTTCTACAGCATTGTTAATTATTGCTTATCTTCAAGCCCTTGCAGAGAACAGAAACCAGTCGTTCTGTCCTGGATGCCCAGAATGGAAACTGCCCCTCAAGCATTGATGTTTTTCTTGTGATCCTGCTGTGCCCCAAGACAAAGAATAACTTGCCCTGTGTTTCTCAGTGCACCTCACATTGACCTCTTCCCCTGTGTGTTTTGTATCTCGTCCAGTATGGTGGCGATGGTTATGGACTCTGGACTGCTCTTTTCCTGGTGTTGGGCTCACTGTGCCCATTCTGGCATTACTCTCTAATGCCTTTTCCTATAAGGGTACCTTCATGACTTAATTACCTCCCAAGAACCTCATCTCCATATACCATTATATTGAGAATTTAGAACTTCAATACATTAATTGAGGGGACACATAAACTTTCAGTTAGAAGCACGTGAAATGGGCCAGCAGATGGTGTGGTGGTCAGGGCTCTGGACTCCTGCATGACTGACTGGTTCAAGTCCCAGACCCTTAAATCATGCCTGGTGTGTGCGTGTGCTTGCCCAAAATCCCCAGAGAAGAAGAGATTATGATGAAGCAGTTTTCCCAGGGGGAAGAGGTGATGTCTCACTTTTTCTCTCTCCAGCAGGCACATATACACTATGGCAAAACATGAAAAAAGGACCTGAAAATGGACGTTACATGTGATACTCATAGAACATTTATTATGTATCAGACACTTCTCTAAAATGTTTGCTTCTATTTATTTAATCTTCACAGCCCACTTTCAGATAGTTACTATTATTATCATCATCCCATTTTACAGATGAACAGAATATAGAAATTAAGTGACTTTTTCAAGGTTACAAAACCACGTTAGTGACAGAATTGGTATTTGAATGTAGACTGGCTCCAGATCTGTGTGCTTAAACCATACACTGCACAATCCACTTTCAGGTAATTACTATTACTATCCCATTTTACAGAGGAAGAAAATGCAGAAGTTAAGTGACTTTCTCAAGGTCACACAGACATGTTAGTGACAGAGTCAGAATTTGAGTGCAGACTGTCTGGCTCTGAGTATGTGTGCTTAAACCACACACTTCAGTGTCTCTTGATAATAATGTTGTCTACCTCATAGATAGGACTGTATGGGAAAGGGATGGTGTGGAAGCACAGCATAGCACAGTGTAAGACACAAAGTAAGGGCTCAATAATATGTGCTGAGTAATTGGCTTTGCCAAGCCATAGTTAATTCATCATACTAAGTTAGATACCTGTGTACTCTATGGCTAATTTTAATTTTTGTATCTTCTTAGATTCCCTTGTGTGTATCATATCAGCTTTGCAAATCCATTTTTGCACAATTTTGATAGAATATTAGATTATCTAACAAAGTTTGTACTGAGCCCATGCTGGCTCCCCATGGTCACCTCTTACACTTCTAAATGTTCACAGACCATCTGTTTGAGAACCTCTTTTAGAATTGTGCCAGCAACCATTGTAAAGCTCTTCATTCCACTTAGCTTATAGTATTTACCTTCTTTGCATTTTCGGAACTTGGGTAACTTATGGTTCTTGAGATGAAAATCTGCCTTATATTACTTCATTAGTGATGAAGACCATTAGAAATTTTCTACATAATTTCAATTTTTTATGAAAGGAATGAAATGCCTACATTGTGCTTGAAGAGCATTTGAATTATACAACTAACAACTGACTCCTATTTCAATCCATAACTCTGTATCAGATTGTGGGGCTGATCCAACATAAAATAAGATTACTCATCTGGCAGAGGAAAAGTTCCAACAGGAAAATTTAGGTAGGAACGTGAGTCATATAATGTGACATTCTTCTGCCCTGTAAATAAATCCTGTTTAACTAAACCATATGTTCTAAAGGAGTTTTTTAAAAAATTAAACTGAAAAAGTTTTATATACCTAACCCCTTGACCAACCAGCTCTTTTATACATTTGAATTTCTCAGAGTTGTAATTTGACTTTGGAAGTAAAACAGTTGTTTTCTTTGTAGCAAGCCTTTCCACTGTATTTTTCCTTAATAAATAATTTATGATCATTTAAACATAGCAAAGAAATCAGCCATGCATATTTTGTTGTTGTTGTTGTTGTTGTTGTTGTTGT